AGGTGACAATGGCGGAGAAATAGAGATTTAGGGTGGGAGAAGATTTATGAAACGTAGGTTTGTGGGAGAAGAGGGTAAAGTGTATGGAAGAAGAGAGAGAAAAGCTGGTCAGAGGAGATATACGCTAATTAGGTGAGAGAAAATATAAAAAATGAGAGAAAAATATTTTGTAGCATATATGGTGCCTTAATAGTAGGATGGAACTATATTTAGATTTTTTGCTATAAACTATAAAAGGTATTTATAGGATGTAATATTTAAAAATGGTATTTATTTAATATAAATAGGGTACTAACCTATTCTATAGGTGGTAAAATTTACTAGTTATTTTGCCCAAATCCAAATAAGAGATACACTTATATAATTCAAATTTTACTTCTAAATATTAGGGCTTTTTATAAAGCCCAAATAAAGAAAGACTTGGAACCCATTTGGCAAAAAGATTCATTTTTTCACTTTTTCAGGAATTAGTGCCATGAAAATTTCAAATTTTCATTTGAAGTTAAATTTCAGAATTTGAAAAACTCCAAAAAGTTGTATTTTAATATTTTCATTTGAAAGCACTCACAAAAATTCAAAAACAATTTCAAATTATATTCATGCCCAAACACAACTCTAATTTTTAAATACCATTTTTCACTTGGAAAAAAAATTCATTTTTTCGAAATTTCACAATTCTAATGTCCAAACGCCCACTTAATATTCAAATTTTATAGAGTTTCAAGCTCCTAAATATTAGAAAAATAGATAAATGATGATTTTTTAATTGTATGTGTTTCTCATGTCATTGAGTTAATAGTTTTTTAAAAATAACATAAATAGTATTAAACGATGTGTTTGAACTATAAGAAAGTGTAACATTCTAAAAATATATTTTGTTGATTCTATTTAGCTAGCTCAATGAAGGATAAATCGTACCACATGGAAATTTTCAAATTATTTTTAGTTTGTACTCTAATATCGAAAATGAATAAAAACGAAAACATAAATACATTTATCATGACGCCGTCTCAAATACTACAAATTTAAAAAATTAAATCTTTTAATCTTTTAGAATAATTCACTATGCTACAGGATAAAGCGTATAAAAATTCGATATATGAAGGCACAATTTTATGCTTTTGTTACCTTGCTATAGAATCGTATAAAAATTAAGGAAATTAGTTTTATTCTTTTGTTATTCACTCGTAGCAATTAAGGATTTTTCCAATTATTATTTCTTACCTAGTTTAATAATATAAGATTTAATGACCAAAATTTTAGTTGATTTTAAAGTCCTAAAATTTAGGAAATTAATTTAAATTACAATTTTATCCAATGTGAAATATGATTTTAAGGGGTAAAAAAGGCGAACGACATTTCGCTAAGAGCCTTCGTGCTTTTAATATAATTGTATAGGTAGATATATTTCAAAAGTCTTTTTTTTTAAACTCCACATCAAATCAAACTAGCTCATATAAATTGAAACGGAGGAAATAACCTACAAAACTCCCTCTCTTTCACCCTTAAAAATCTTTCCTTTAGTGAACGAAGAGACTCGTGAAATGAACGAGTCAAATCCTGAATGAGCTCAGTCTACTCACAAATTAAAAAAAGGCTAAATATAACCCCTTAAATTTAGTATGATCAGTCAGTTTTTCACACAAATTTAACTAGCGGCCATATAAACAACTCATCTCGTGTAAGTAGGGCTGTTAATTCGGATTGGATATTTGAAACCCGAACCGATCCATTCAATTTCGGATTTTGGATTGGATCGAATTTTAGATTGTGTTTATTAAACTTTCGGATTCGGATTGGTATATTTTAATCTGATCCGATCCGAAATCCGAAATTATTAGGCAATGTATAAATACTATACTTTAATTTCGGATAGTCAGTACTTCCTTTACATCTTCCTCCAAGTTATTACCTTTACAATTACTAGATTTAACTATATTGACACCATAGTACTCTCATAATTGCATAAACATGATTTTTTTGTTAATGTATTACCTCTTTTACAAAGAAAATATACATATTAGTTTGCAACTTTGAGGCATAATAATATCCTAAATCCGATCCGATCCCAACTTTAAAATTCAATCCAATCCGATATAATTCGGATCGAATTCGGATTGCATTTTCTAGAATCCGAAATCCGAAATTTGATTCCAAAATGTGCTAAATCCGATCCGATCCGATCCGTGCACATGCTTACGTGTAAGTGTCTTTTGAACACAGTCCTACGTGGCACACCGCCCGTTGCTTATTACTCCTTTTCTTTCCATTTGGGCATGTTTTTTTTATCAGTTCGTTTAATAATAAATAATATATTTTTATATTTAAAAATAACTTTACTTTAAATTTTTTATTTTATCTATTTTATCTCTAAAAGAAGCTCTTATAACAACACAGACCAAAAACCATACAAAAGCTTTTACTAAAGGTGTCAAATAGGCGGGTTAGATTGATTTTGAGGGATCAAAATGGGGGAGTCAATAAGTGGGCGGGTCATTGGGCTGAGATGGGCTGTGTCAAGATGAGCTAAAATCTGGGTCATAGCCCAACCCGCCCAACTCTTACCAAACTTTAATTAATGTGTGTTGTTTTCTTATGATTATTTAATTATCAAATAAAACTTTTTTTCTTTTGTTATAGTCATATAGGAGTAACAAATCAAACATTAAAAGAATTATTTTAAAGATATTTTAGTAAAATTACTCATGGATCAATTTGGGCTAAATATTAGCCAATTTTAAATGGGTTGAGATGAACTGGGTCAACATAGACCGAGTTCAACAAATGAGCGGGTTATTAACGTGAAAATAGCACAGACTAGCCAGTTTTCAGACTGGTAATTGAAAAATAGCCAGCATTTGCAAAGTCATTGAAAAATAGTCATTATTTTGCTGCAACACAGAAAGTTCCAGCATAATATACTGATTGATGCATCTATGTATGAACTTCCAATATATTATACTGAAACTCCAGCATACAGAAAGTTACAGCATAATATACTGGAGATTGGAGCACTTGTGTATGAACTTCCACCATATTATACTGGACTAGTATATTATGCTGGAACTTCAATATATTATGCTGAAATATTTTTCGGATTTAGAATAGTATATTCGTTCAGATTTATTTTTATATGAAAAATAATTAAATTTCGATTACTTTTGATTGAATTTCCCCAACCTTGGGCGGGTTATTGAGTTGCGCGAGTCAAACGGGTTTTCTTCTTCGTNAATGGTCTGCCAGTGCCTGGGCTTTCATGGCCGTCCTTGTCACGTAGATGATATCAAATTCTGTGAGCAGAATTTGCCATTTTGCCAACCTCCCCGTGGGCATAGGTTTCTGAAAGATATACTTCAATGGGTCCAAGCGGGATATGAGATAAGTAGTATATGAAGACAGGTAGTGCTTCAACTTCTGAGCTAAGATANCTGAAGTGTTTTATATCGTCACTAATTATGTTTGAGTAGCTAACTGACAAATTATGTTAAGTTTTAAGGGGTTATCTAGGTATTTAGCCAATGAGGAATTACTAGTGGATTTTAAAAACTGATACATAATTTTATTGTAAGAAACAGGAGGTATAAACATACATTGCAAATGAACTTTTCGGGTGAAACTTGCTTGGGAAAGTTAGGGCACTTATGGAGAGGCTGGTTCGGGATTTAAATTTTATGGGTTTTATCAACCCATTATGTCTTTAAATTTATGGGTTCAAAATTACCATTTGTTGCTATTTAATGAATTTTTGTACACAAATTTATGTTTTGCATCGAAAGTTATTGGTTCAGATGATCTACATTCGCCCCTGCACTAAAGGGCGGGTCATGAATTCGACATGTTAAGGCTGAAATGGTGTAATTGACAGGTAACTTATCCAAATATGATGGAATTTTTTGAGTTCCTCGGAGTTGATATGGAGATCTCTGATATGTCATTTTCAGTGAGCTTAGACCAAGGCCGTGGTTGCGAATGGGGTACCCGAAATGGAATCTCTAGTTTGTTTGCACAGAAGAAGAATGTCTTGAATCCATATTTTTGGCAAATGATTAGAGAAATTATCAAGTTCAAGCAGGATGTCATAAGGTACCAATAACTTATTTGTCTTTAAATATGCCTTCTTATTTGAGCAATTTGTTGATTTACTCATCCCATTAGAAATTTAGAGCACAGAGTCTTCTTTGTTCATGCATTTGATTAAAATGGACTAGATCGTTCTGTTTTGTATGCTTTCTTTATATATGTGTCAAGGAAAGAGCTATCTCCAATGAAGTGTATTTCATCACGAATGCGTTTCTGATCGCATTGCAGTTACCTTGAAGCACTCGACAACAATCCTGACATTGGTCGCGATGAAACAATAAGGCAATTTATTAAGTCAAATGGCTGTTCGGAGTTATTTCTGAAGGCTTATCTGGTGAGTGGTGACAGTGCGATTGTCGTAGTTATTGATTTGATAGGTGCAATACGCTTTTTGTTCACTCAACAAATTGTCCTTACTATAAGCAATTTACTCATATGATTCACAGATTCCAATATGTTCTTCAATCTGGTCCTGTCCCTTAGAAGGAGTAATGGGCTTTTCTGCTTATTCTATTCTTTCATTCTTCCGCGACCACCATCTTCTTCAGGTTCTTCCACTCATCAACTGTTCAATTAGCGTACTTTGTGTGTAGATTATACCCATTGTTAAATGCAAGAGACTGAATTTGAATGCTTACATATATCATTTTATTATACTTGTGCCTAAGGGTGCTTTTGTTCTTTATTTAAAGCTCTTTGGTCTCTCTCAGTTGCTCACTGTAAGATGGGGATCACATACATCTGTAAACAAGGTGAATTTTTATTCATAGATACCACAAAGTTTTTACTATTTCCCTGAGGAAAATTTCAGGCAATTACCAATTTTCACTTTCTTGCATGATATGTTAAGCATGTGTCATCCTTGAGAGTATTTGATGGGGACATTGAATGTAGGTTAAGGAGGAGCTGGAGAAGAGAGGCTGCCAAATAAGAAGTGGTTGTGAAGTAAATTCTGTATCGACAGATGAAGAAGGTCTAGTTTGGTTTTATTTTTGGCTTGTTTCAAGAGTTCATCGTGCTGATTATTTTATCATAATAGTAGATGGGCATATATCTGTTGGAAAATGGATAGGTTATTACCTAATGGAAATTTATTTAATGAAAAGACCCTATCACTTTATGTGTTTAAAATGGTCCTTTATAAAGGCGAAACTAGAAATGAGGAAGATAGGTTTTCATTGATATCCATAAGTATTTTTTTTACAACATTGGTGTTAGCGCCTGTTTATGCACACGTCAACTATTCCACTGGGTACTTGCTAGCTCCCACCGGTGTAGATAACGGGTAACTCTATCCATTAAGGCTTAGGCAAATGGGAAGAAATCACCTAGTGTTCCCTGGTCTTCAATTTTTGCACCCACCTCATTGATCAGTAGNATGGATGCATAATGGCTGCACATGCTCCGGATACTCTGAGAATGTTAGGCAAAGAGGCAACATGCGATGAAACAAGAATTATGGGTGCTTTCCAGTATATCTATAGGTACTTCCGGCTCCTTTATTTGAAACCTTGAACTTGCTTTTCTCTTTAATTTTAGTTAAGTTTTTCCGGAAAATTCATGCATAAACTTACATCGCTAATGTGGTTTATCTTCCTCTAAAAAAGGTAATAAATGCATGGCCATGTTCGCATTTGTATTTTCTATTACCAGAGGAGCTCTATTTTGTGCTTTAGTGAAATTCAGTTAAAATGCATGTTCTAATTGTGGCTGGTTATAGTCAATTAACAGCTACAACCTGCTAGATTTCTGAACTAAGATTAATATAGTTAGTAATTCCGCCTCTAAAATTCTACCATGAGCACAGCTTAAAAGGGCAGAATGTCATGTTGAAGAGGTACATCTTCTTGACAAATTCGTTTTAACTTATTTCTCTTGCTGCAATGACAGCGATATTTTCCTTCATCGTGACAAAACATTCCTGCCTCGCGACCCAGCAGCATGGAGTGCTTTGAACTTTCTTGGAACTACAAATAATAGAGGATGCATGACATATTGGCTCAATGTAATCCAGGTGTGTTATGCAATACAGCCATTTATGACCTTATATTGAAATTAGATGATAATGTTCTTCAGTGGAGAGTCTTCTCTTTAGTAACTACCCTCTTATTTTATGAGCTGTCTAAACTTACAGAATCTTGGTGACTCAAAGCTGCCTTATCTCGTAACCACTGATCCTCCTCACACACCAGAGCATACATTGCTTAAGTGGACAACAGGCCACCTAGTCCCCTCAGTTGCTGCATCAAAAGCTTCACGTGAGCTAGATCAAATCCAAGGGAAGAGAGGAATATGGTTTTGTGGAGCATATCAAGGTATGAATCTCCTTTTATGCAGAGCATGGACTGCTGTTTCAAGATAGATGTTCCTTTGTAACCTGCAATCGTGCTTAGTCTGCTGCTGGCATTCAACTATTTTCATTTAGAAAACCAGTTCCTTTAACTGAAACCTGAAGAATTGCACCACTCGCTATTATCTTTTAAATCACTTGCAGAACCCAGTTTATGAAACAATTTAGTTTCTTTCTCCGGACTTTTTATAGTTCTCTCCGTTAGTCCTTGGAACTTGCATCTTATAAATTTGAATCTGTTTTATTCCGACTCTCGGCGGATAAGATGACTGCGTTTCTATTTAGATGAAATAGCCCCGGGCCATCGAGACTGAGGGTACTAAACAAGCCGCCAAGCTGTCTTCGCAAAGAGAGCTTCATTCACTTTCTTTTTTCTTTCCGTTTCAACTTGATGCCTGCGAGTGAGCTCAAAAACCTCGTGTCTTGGTTTAATTCATTTCCTTTATTTGGAAAGCTACCGGTAAAGATTGTAGCTTGAGTTGTTCTGTCTTTAGTCCTTTCTTCCCTTTAGAGGACAAACTTTATTTTCCGCTTTGCGTTTCACCACTTGTTGATGTATATTTATTGCAATACTTTCAGGCTATGGCTTCCATGAGGATGAACTAAAGGTAGTACTACTTCTACTAATAACAAGCTCAACAGATTTTAACTGTAATTATCACCTTAATCTGAAAACAATTTGGAGTATTTTCCTGCTTTTGTTGACCCTCTGATGTCATGTGGATGATTATCTACGTTTGCTTCTCCTCAGGCGGGTGTGGCTGCTGCAGATCTCATGCTTAGAAGGAATTGTAGTATTCTGGACAACCCCAAGCACATGGTACCAACCTGGCCTGAAACAGGAGCACGCCTCGTCGTTACTAGATTTTTCAGAAGTTTCATTAAAACGGGATGCATAATGTGAGTGCTGATAGTTTCCCCTTGTATTGCTTTAATCCCATATCTAACAACTTGTTTATTTCCATCTATCCTATTTCTTATTCGGAAAAGGGTCAAAAAGTTTTGCCGTCTAAAAAGAGCACTTTTGCCCTCCGTTTGTTTTTGTATCAAAAAGTTCCTTGCCGTCTAAAAATGGGCCCACACTTACCCTCAAAACTAAAGGCTGTCCACATGAGCTTCTAGACCTATTTAAATACAATATATTTGCTGAAATGGCTATCCAACAAGAATCATAGCTGAGAATCCTACAGGGTGCCCTTCCCAAGGAGGAAGACCATCGAAATGCATTTTCCCTCATAAAGTTAGACACAACTTTTGGACCTTGAGAATTCACATCTACTTCCTCTATGGATGTGTTCTTCGAGCTAGAGTTAGCCGACGCCATCAATGACTCGCTAGCAGGAACAGGGCTCAATGGAGGCAAACAATTATTCAAGAAAATGCTCGTTTGAGATAACGATCTCGCATGAGAAGCTCCTAACTCCGTCAGATAACTCAAATTAAGTTTTACATATATATTATATTTATATATTTTCCCTGTAACTCTTATTTTATTTTGGCATGATGCCGATATGAGTTGAGCAAGAAGTGAGGAGTCATATCGCCGACCCCATCTTTGTTTGAGACTGAGTCTTAGTAGTTGTAGTAGTTGTTTCTTCTAAATATTAAAGATATCTGGATAATTACTTTATATTTTGCGATATACAGCTTCTTTGAAGAAGGAGGTACAGTTTTCACCTTCCAAGGAACAGAGAGGAAATGCTCTCTGAAAGTTTCTCTTAGAATTCATAGTCCACAGTTTTACTGGAAGGTAAATTGAAATTCTCTTTTCTCCCCTTCACGTTATCAAGCGATAAACCCAAACAGAATCCAAATCTTGACAAATTCTGTGATATAGATTGCAACTGAAGCTGAAATAGGCCTTGCTGATGCTTTTATTCATGGGGATTTCTTTTTTGTCGACAAGAATGAAGGTCTTCTTAATCTTATCATGGTGAGGAAATAGCTAGATTCTTTGTAAATAGCATTTGTTTGGTACTTAGCTTCCTGAATTCTTTTACAGATATTTGTTGCCAACAGTGATTTGAAAACGTCTGTTACAAGTTCTAGCAAGGAAAGGTAAATAGTTTGTCCTCAACTTGAAATAAAGAAACATAAACTTCTGTTCATATGTTAAAGTTTTTCATCACTTTGCATGGCTCTAGAGGCTGGTGGACACCATTCCTTTTTACAGCAGCACTGCCATCTGCAAAGTATTTCATTCGACATGTTTTGAATCAAAACACCCTGACTCAGGCTCGTCGGAATATCTCCCGTCATTATGACCTGGTAAATAACTTGTGCATATAATATCACCCAAAGTATGTAGGGGATGTCAAAGATCAGTAGTGAATTGAAGTACTCAATCCTGCATGTATTCTTTGCCAGTTGCAATAGATTCCTGTAATTTTCTTGTCTAATATGGGCTGCTATTGTGTAGATGATAAGCATTGTTTTATTGATGTTTGTTCAGAGTAATGAACTCTTCTCACTCTTTCTGGATGAGACAATGACATACTCATGTGCAATATTCAAGGTTAGCTCTCAAATTCTTAAATGTTTGCCACTTTTTTTTCTCCTCGTATGTTAAGCTACATTTCCTGTTCTTTCATAATTTTTCTAGAGTGAGGATGAAGACCTAAAAGATGCACAGCTGAGAAAGATTTCTGTTCTCATTAAAAAGGTAAGTCATCAACCATGTAAAAAGCTCTCTCATTTCAGCTTAGATTTCAAGCATAATTTGATTCTGCTTCTATTCTATTTAGGCAAAAATTAGCAAGGAACATCACATTTTAGAGATAGGATTTGGTTGGGGAAGTTTTGCTGTGGAAGTTGTCAAGCAAACAGGGTGTAAATATACTGGTATAACTCTCTCCGAGCAGCAACTGGAGTATGCACAGGTGTTAGTTAAGCAAGCAGGCCTTCAGGTATAGATTGTACTTACTATGTTGAAGCTCAAAAGTTTTGAGTTTGGAATTTCATTCTCATCCGTCTAGATCACTAACATTTCATTCTTGTTGCTGCCCGTTTTAAGAACATTTGATGAGGATTTCCCGGAAATCTTTGAAGAAGTTTTTTGAAATCTGTAACTGGAGAATTGAAGATGTGCAATGACCAGTTCAAAACTGATGTATAGAAATAACTGAGACAGATCACGGATATACAGTGGTTCAGGAAATTTTCCTCTATATATGGACAGGCACAGCAAAGAAGGAAACCATCCAATTTAGATTGTATAATAGCCTTAATGCCCCCTTCTCTTATTGATGGCTTAGCCTACGCTACAAATATAATTGCTATAAGCTGAGGAAAATGATAAAGCAACTAGGAGATTGCAATTCATGACTAAACCTTCTTCCATTTTCTTGCTTTCTGAACAGTAAGAGCTCCTGAACAAGCTAGTCACAGGCTATGTTGCAGGACTCTCCGGAATGCTGCTGCACCCGTGTCGGGTCGTCTAAAAATACACTATTTTTTGGTGACCGACACGCACCCGGCAATATTTTGGGAGAGTCCAAGCAACATAGGTCACAGAGAAGTTATGGCACAAAATTAACTAAAATGCTTCTTTGTATGTTGCATTCGCACATTTGTCTTTATAAGATTAACATGAGAACATGATCTGCTTAGCACTTGCAAGCCAAATCCGAGCAACTTTAAAGCTAGGGTTATCTATTTATATTCAATTCAATGAAATTTTTTCACAGGATCGTATTACGCTTCTCCTATGTGACTATCGTCAAATGCCAAATAAGGGCAAATATCACAGGATTGTATCAATGTGAGCTTTTATTCTCTACATCTTGACATGTTGTATTACTCACTATATGTCGAGCTAGTGTTACAATTGAATAATTTCATTTTCAGCGAANACTCACTATATGTCGAGCTAGTGTTACAATTGAACTAATTTCATTTTCAGCGAAATGATAGAACATGTTGGTCATGAGTTTATGGATGAATTCTTTACTTGCTGCGAGTCTGCATTGGCAGAAGATGGGCTTCTAGTTCTGCAGGTAATGAATTAAAGTGATCCCTTAACACAGTCCACTTTGTTCACTTTCGCTTCAATTTCCTTCACTGTTCTGTCGCTCTTGTTTCTTTATGCTGCTTTTCACAAGCGTTGGCTTTCCTTAGTTCACTTCTGTGCCAGATGAGAGGTATGACGAATACAGGCATAGCATAGGCTTCATAAAAGAGTATATATTCCCAGGTGGATGCTTGCCTGCACTAAATCGAGTAACATCAGCCATGGCTTCTGCATCCAGACTATGGTAAGAAAGAGTTCATTTTGTGATTTTGCACTAACGTCCTTGTCAGTTTTTCATAAGCATGTGTCGTAGCATTTGATAAATGATATAAATGCAGTGTAATGCACCTGGAAGAGATAGGAATTCACTTCTATCAGACACTGAGATGTTGGCGGGAAAACTTCCTGGAAAATCAAAGGTAACAAGATCAAAATAAGTTTACAATCTTCTACGCTGAGTTAAAACCGTTTCTTTCATGAACTATCCGTAGCTTGATCAGTTCTGAATGTTTATACTTGACCATTGATAACTTTATCACTAGCCAAATTCGTGTTTTGGGATTCGATGACAAGTTCATCAGGACATGGGAGTACTACTTTGACTACTGTGCTGCTGGATTCAAAACGCGCGCAATAGGAAATTATCAGGTATGGTGATAAATCTTTGAAATTTTATAGGGTAAAACCACTTCTCAAGTCATTTAATTTCCTTTTGTTAATTTGAACATAATTGTTGATGACATAATCTTGCCAATGTTCGAAAAATAAATGTGCATGACATATAATCATAGTGGAAAGCAGGAGGTGCGGTACGTGGATGGTACTTAGGAGTCGTTTGGTAGGGTGCATAAGAATAATGTTGAATAGAGTGTATTAGTAATGCTGACATATTTCTTATCCATTGTTTTGTTTGATTTATTAAATCATCTTACAATTTCTAAAAGAATTGGTTGTTTACAAAAATACCTTCATAACCAGTCCATTACTTTATCTTTTTAAAAGAAACATATGTTGAGGAATATTTTTATATGAAAAATGGTTTAAAAAAAATTATTTGATTTGTCTACCTATATTGTAGTGTAGAACTGAATATTTATTTATAAAAAAGGAAATATGCTAAGTACTTATTTATCTACTAGGGATATAATTTTATTTCTCACTTTCTTGGATCATTAGGCAAAGAAAGTTTGAATTAAAAAAATAAAAGGAAATGAGTTGATTACAAGTGCATTCCAGTAGGTAGTAGTAGTAGAGTACAGATTTATAAATTTACAATGAAGAAATTGGCGGAGTATAGATATAAATAGCGGGAGCAATTTCAGTATCAAAATTTACATCAAACTTGCATTAATATAATAACATAGTTTAATGAAGCATAAATTTTGAAGGGCAATTTTGTTTTTAACTAAGCTAATGCATACATTAAAACCCATTTTATTGTTAATACCATGGTTTCCTATGCATTAGTTATGCATAGGATAATACCAAATATGGTGTATAACTAATGCTTGCATAACTAATACACAAAATAAGGTATTATTAATACACAAAGCTAATGCATGCATAATTATATCTAATGCATCCTACCAAACGACCCCACCCCTTAGTTATTAGAGAGGGTATAATTTTATTAACTTAATTGTACTTTCAACATTACTCTTCACGTTCTTCAGGAAAACTTCTCTTTTCTTGTGAAGGGTGGCTGTGAAACTCAAACTTATTATGATACCATGTCGAATTATGTGAACTACTTCGTTTAAAAACTTAAGCAATTGGAAAGGATACAATTTTATTTATTAATTATTTAAATACATGCATTTTTTCAAATTTTTACAAGAAATCTTGAAATTGTCTTACCTAATTTGAGAAGTAAATACTCAAAGGGTGCTTCAAATATTCTTGTAGATTGTATTTTCAAGGCCAGGGAATATTGCAGCATTTGGTGATCCTTACAGTGAAGTGCCTTCAGCTTATTAGAGTTTCTTTGTTTGGAATATTCGAACTTTTTCTTTGCAAATGCCTCTGCGTTCTCTCGTACTGTGTTCTTTGGACTTTTTTCAGCTACTAATAAAAAGTTATTGAGGAATTTTCATAAAAGCATTACAGTTTAGAGCTTAATTACCTTACGTAATTATTGTTTGCCTAATTATCATTTGTAGCTACTGTTTAATTTGTATTCATTCGTTCTAAATGGCTATATCAACGCATACAATACACTGAAATACAATGATAACTATATACAGCGATATATAGTTACCGTATCACTGTATATGACTTCATACACGGTATATATTGTTTTTATCGTTAGGATTTTGCTACAAAATACATAAACTAGGTACGAGTTGCATCACTTGTATTAATATTACCAGCTTGTATCACTTGTATTCATTCGCTCTAAATGGTTGTATCAACGCATACAACACATTGGAATACAGTGATACATATAGTTGTCATATCATTGTATTTGACTCAATACACTGTATACATTGTATGTTAGAATTTTGCTACAAAATGCAAATAGTAGGTACGAGTTGTAACTATTTCAAAGTGTATTTATGTACGACAAATAGTGTATAAGTTAGTTTCACCATGTAATTTTTCCAAAGTTATTCAAGGATCTTGTTATCCTCATTTAAATAAGAAAGGAGAGCTCAGCAATTGACTGAGTATTCAATTGTTGTGAAGCTTAAGGAAAGAAACTACGATACTGTTTGGTTGGAAGGAATGAAGAAAAAAAAATGTGCTAGAAAATTAGGCAGGTATATGTTGAAATAGTCGAGGTGTATAGAATACCACCGCCAAAAAAAAAAGGTGTATAGAATACCACCGCCAAAAAAAAAAAA